CTTTCCAGCTTAAATGTCTACCTGTGATAATCGAGTTGCAAAGTTCAAGGTTCGTTCAATGTTAAGGTTTCCGTGGAGGTCGCTATAATTGATTTGAGCGTGTTTGTGTCACAATCTCTGATTGGACGCTACTGTTCACGTCACACTGATTAGCAGTGAATTTTCGCAAGGCCGCTACAATCTCTGATAAGGATGACATCGATGCGACTTAAAAAGACGTTTGAATTGTTTGTAGGTAAAAATCATTTCCTATTTAGTGTAAATGGGTATTAAAATAAGTAAAATTCACCATTTAGCCCGAATCAGTAACGTCTTATGTAAACAATGCGCGCTATTGAGCCAATGATTGACGCCGCGTGATGTGACGTCACGTGTTGAAACAGTCATCTGTTACAGAGATATTAGAAGATCTCTGTGAAACAGATTGTGTTCACGTGTGTTCAGTAAATGGAGATGGCTTAGCTATACTTTGGAAATTGTAACGCAATCTAGCAACGTCAAGATGTTGTAAAACTCGTAGTCGTTGATTCAGGACTAAGTTCCGGATTAAGTTCGAATACTAAGAAATCGTGTTTCTGTTAACGGTGGGATCTTTAATCTCATGGGAATACATTTAACATCTATATAATCACTGTATTTAGTATTATTTAGTGATAATGCCTCGTCTTTTCTATCTTTGATCAAGTCCTATGTTCGGTTTTATGAGATCTTGTATAAAGTCACACGTAGGAATGGGATATTGATCTTCAAGAAAACGCGCATAGTAAGTTCCCATAGGAATACCAATTACTTGCTTGCAGGAAATATTCTTCTCTGCATTCAAGCTCAAATATTATCAATAAGGAATTCTAATGATAACAAAGTGGCTATTTTTAAGGAACCGTAATGAATTACTGGCAGACTATTTTACGACACTTTCCATCGATCATGCGCATAGGGAAAATATTCGACTTAAAACGTAAATTTAAAAAATGCAGTTGCATGGGTACCGTAGACAAATATTTTTGAGGTACTTTTAGGGCAATATAGCGTGGACAAAAATCTTTGGGCTATTTTTAGGGTTAGGGTTAGCTTCCGATTGTTTAAGAGTTTTAAAGGTCTTTCAGCCTTGAAAAATAACTGGAAGCAAACCCAATCCTAACCCTAAAAATATTTTCCCTATGGGCAGGTGCGACGGGAAGTGTCTTAAAACTAGTCTACAGGATATTAATTACGGTTCCGTAAAAATGGTCACTTTATTCTAATAATCTCATTATGACATTTTCTGTATATTTTTGTTGGGCATAGGTGTATTCTTTATCCAAATGTGTAAAATTAGGTTGTAGAATATATATTGATTTCGGTGGGTTATCTTTTTAAGAAAGAAAGGGGGCCACGGTGGCTCGGTAACTTGGAGGTCCCGTGTTCGATACCTGCGTTGGTCGAGAAAGATCATCGGGATTTTCCGGCGTGGTGCCCCCCTCTGTTCAGTGGTTTAGGACGGAGGGCCTGACAAGGAACCAAGGTCCCTTGTACACATTTTCGTGCATTTAAAATGACCCTTGACAGTAAGGATTCGAAATAAAAGTAGGCCATAGCGCCGATGTCCGGGCAACATTCCCCCCATAGCACACTGCATGACGTATGTCCGTCTTCATTAGCCCAGTGCACAATACCATTTAACCTAACTTTCAATTGTCAGCTCGTCAAACGTTTCTGGTAGTTTTTTTGAGGGAGATTGATGAGAATTGCGAGAAGTCCTGCTTATTGCGTGATTGGTTGAAGTGTTATTTTGACATGGCAAGGATAATTTTATTTGCTACATAATTGGTCATTGTAATTTGCTACAATGGTATTTTGACAAATGAAGAAACCTTTCATTGACAACATAATAGGCCACTTAAAAGGTCATGTTTGTGTCATTCATCAAAGTCCTCATTTGTAAAACGCAGTTAAACTGCACTATAGTACATTGTGCTATGTAGTGTAGTCCACCATGAAGGGTGGGACTGCCGTAAAACTAGATTCCAAACATTGTGATTGAGCAATAATCATGGCGACCATCCCTGTGAAGTGTTATTTAGTTGAAAGTTGATCAAAGTTTGAATGAATCATAAATCGGATATTGTTTTATTATTTTATATAGAGTTTTCTAGTTTGGAAATACGGTTCAGTGGTCATAACATGTCAATCAATCAACGTCATATATCAATCCAGTAATTGATTGGATGTTCGGCTCGGTCTAATTACTGCAAATACTTGGATTATTTTTGTTTTGGACGTATTTGTTATCCAATTGTTAAAGATGCACCATGTAAGATTAGATAAAGAGCTGGCAGTTCTCGCTATATAGTTAAACAAAAGACAATGAAAAAAGAATATGTAGAAAATTTCAGCCTAATTATACTTCATTCAGAGCGGGGTTATGGACATTTGAAGAATGGTGTAGTCTCGATTATCATTGCTATCGTTGATACGGTAGTAAACAAAGCCTCGATTATCCATTTTAAAATTAAATTATTAACTGGCAATCATGTTTAAATACATTGATTATGGGCTTGGCATGTGAATACATGTTTAATTGACAATTTATGTAACATTTGAGGGAAAATGAAATATCTGCATTAGGTCTTAGGTCTTTCATTGAGTCAGGTGGCGTGATGCCCATCGCTTGACGGACCTCGTTGTGTTTATCCAGGTCCTCCGCTTTCCTCCGACTGCCTAAAGACCCATGCGCGTAAACGAATTACTGAAATAAAATTATAACATAAATTAGTTCCGAATTGAAATAGTCTGTGTTGAGTGGACGTAAACCTGATTTGCAGACTTAAGTTCTGGGCCTTTTTAAATATGCAATTCGTTTTCAGATAAGAAAAACTCGAAAACATCACTGAAACGTACAATTTGATTTCCTCCTGGCAACCGATGTACTGAATTAAATCTGTTTACTGTGCCCGTTGGTATAGAATAATTGGATCACACACTACAAATGCTTTTTGGGGAGACACGGTGGCTATATGGGTAAGACGCTGGCTCGCTAGCTTGAAGGTCGCGTGTTCGATCCCTGCATTGGCCGAGAAAGTTCATCGGGAATTTCCAACGTGGTTTCCCCTTGTCAGTGGTGCAGGACGGAGGGCATAACAAGGACAGCTATGTGGTCATTCGGATTAGACAAAAAACCGAGGTCCGGTGTATACATTGGCGTGCAAGTAAAAAATCCGTTGGCAGTTGGATTTCGATATGAGTAGGCCATAGTGCCGCTGCTCGGGCAAAATTCCCTCATAGCACACTGTATGGCGTATGCCCGTCTTCATTAGCTTAGTCGGGACAGAAAGAACAGTAGGACTTTAAACCCCATTTCATTTCACTACAAACGATTGAGGAAGACAGGCAGTCTTAGAGTTGGTAATGTCGTATGGAGCTTTACCTGACAATGTGAATTTTTATTTTTAAAGGATCATGGCCAATATTTAGAAATATTTGGTTCTGAGACGACAACAATTTGTTTTTATGTTCTTCAGGGTCTTGTTAAATAAATAACATGCAACTGAAATCATGTGAAAGGTGTTATTTGTAAAATTACAAAACTTAAAAGCTGATAATTAATAGCACTCGAACAACAAGTACTTTTTATATTAACATAAATCTTTTCCGAAAAGAAATAAGAAGGAAAGTTTTTACAGGTGTTCCTGAAGAACAGATTATTATATTGGTGTAGCCTTATTTTAATTTGGTACAGTTTCTGTTGCTCAAAGCAATGCATTACAATCTATTATACTTAAGTATAAGTGGGGTGGCGGTTTAGATAATAAAGTCTGTCAATAGGTCAAGTTGCGTGGTTTCGATCCCAAGCTTATGCTTGCCAAAGAGCAGGGTCGCTTATGTGCAACCTCGTGTGTTTTCTCCGGTTTCCTTCCACTGATAAAGTCCCCTGCCCGCAAGCGAATTATTGAGATAAAAACCGAACCATGTGTTAGTCTCGTAACTGTACGAAGGCTTCCTGTAACGCGTCACATAACGGTATTAGTTATGGTAGCGTACCCCATAGGGCCCTTTTGTATTACTCGTTGCTTTCTTCGGTTAGTTTGGTTCTGTCATGTCGGAAAAATGCCCATATTCCCAAATCAGAGGTAACCAGCATTATCAGCTCCTTAATCATTGCTACACGATTGCTTTCATTAGTCTTTACGTTGGCTGGTAGACTAATCAAATTAGTCGATACAACCCCGAGGGATTTTACTTCTACTAAACCCGTAACTGTTATATACAATGCCTGCATGGCGATGCGGGGAATATGACGCTGGTTCACTTTACTTCCTGGCGTCGGCCAAGAACATGTTCCTCGGGCTTTTCCAGGATGGTTTCAACCTTGTAAGTGATGCATGACGGAAGGAATGCCATGAAAAGGCATCTAGTGGATTGTACAAGATACCCGTGTATACCGTTGTGTTGGTAGCCCGTTAAAGATCCCCGGGCAATTAAAAATCGAAATAAGAATAGGCCAACATTTGCATAATATTGCTAGTTCATCGCGTACACCTGTCTTCATCAGCCTATTGGTGCATAAAAGTGAGACGTCAAACTCAACTCATTTATGCGTTTTCGGAAATAATAAGGTTTTTATAATTGGAGAAACATTAGCCCGTACAGATAATTTCTACGAGAATAAATGCTCTGACGTTATTTGATATACTTAATTACTGTAATCAGAAAATTTGGAAACGACACCTTTATAGATAGACGGGGAATACTATTTTTATTAAGAAAATGAATAGCCTGATTTTATTTGATAAAGGTTTTATATGGAATAATTAACCCACGAGCCTTCAGTAACTAGGACATAACTTTCAGCTACTTAGATTTGCATCAGCGATTACGGAGCTTATTATTGACGTTAATGCAAATTTAATGTAACTTTGCTATTTTATGTAATTTAAATGTCGATAGATATGTATCATCTCTTTGAAAACATAGAATTATTGCGATTTTTTATGTACAATCTGCGTGTATTTTTTTTCCAGGACGGGTACGACATCAGTAACGGTTCGGTGGTGGACGTTATGAGAAAACATTACACCAACAAAATCAACAACCTGGAGGAGTGTTTGTCAAGTTTCAGTGGTATAGAACCACCAGATGCGGGTAAGCTAATGAAACATTTTTGTATACCCTGCCCTGCCCGCAGATTTGTCGTGTGGTGCGGCTCCCCTGCAATTGTTTAGAATTAACGAGTGTTCATTTTACATTGTGGCTGAGTAAGTTGTAGCTTTTTAAATTGTGATGGAGGCGCGAGCTCACTAACCAGGTCCGTGGCTCGATCCCGGCGTGATTTTCCTAGTCGTCGGTGTAGGCTGGATGGCATGCCATGGAACAGTTTCTAGTCATTCAGATGGTATGAAACAGATCCGTTTACACGTTGGCTTTCACGTAATTTCACCCTTAGCACACTGCATGGACATTAAAACCCCATTGCGTGTATTTCATCCAACTCCAACTGACATTGAAAAGAGTGAGCTTTCCTTGCCAGGCCGTCCGCCATGTAAAACTGACATGCGGAAAGGAATCATGGAACCTCCTGGCTAACAGGCTAGAAGCATACCCAGTTAATTATGAAGGAATTGATGATAAATTTTCTACATTATTTATTCAGCAATAGCAGGATTTTAATTCTACAAATGTAGGATTTCCCTTGATTGGGAAGACCAAATATATTTTAACTGATCGTGGGAAGTTCTAAAAGAAATAGTCGTTGTTCTGTTTTAAGGTCTAAAAGAAGTGGTTGTTATTCTGTTTTAAGGTCTAAAAGAAGTGGTTGGTGTTCTGTTTAAGGGGACACACCTACCCTTTCCGGAACACCCGAAACCACTTTCTATCATTCTCATTTTCTCATCTGGTTAATACGATTAATAAAGACTCAATAATCGTTTGATAGTCAATGGCAAAGCATCTTTCCACCTTCAGTAAATAAATGATGGCAGAGGCGTAAATCCAATACACCCACCCGCCTCTCCTCCTATTTTTATTGATAACTGTTGTGTTATAACTTCATGGTTAAATGGAATTACGATAATCAAATCAAAACATAATCTTTATTTAAGAAATCACACGACCACAACTGAGAAAGTAAAGAATAGGATTTACCGATCGAATCTATTTAGAACATGTCTTTTTTGTTCTTATGTTTCTGGACAGCCATTAAAGATTGTGTGTAATGGGATAACAGTGCTTGGGTTTGTCGAAAACAATAACATCTTATTAGTTAACCATAACAAATTTATAGCAAAATGGAGTTGTCTTGTTGAGCAGAATGTTTATCGGGGCATTAAATTGATTACAATTATTTAGACATGTAGTGGTTTTTGTTTGGTAATGGCTTTTGGCGTTCTATCCATTATTCAATTGTGGTGGCACTTTGCAAAAATAAAAGATTTGAACAATATTTATTCTTAAGCTTACCGAAAAACAATGAGTACTGCTATATTGTTTGAAAAATGATACTCTTTTTTTTAAATATTGCCCGGATCTGGATTCTAATTTTTGATTTAAATGTGTAGATTCGCAGTATACCGTAGCCTTTTTTTATATCCATAGCTGAAATTAGTTCAAACATTTCAAGACTGGGCTCATTCGACACTAGGATTGTTACTATTTTCAAAAAAATAAAACTTTGGCTGCCCACAGTACCTTATTCGGCCTGATCAGTCCGTAACGGTGACCTCATTGTGATTGTATTAAAGATTGGCGGGCATTTACAAAATACTACAAGTGACCACCGGGAACAACGCCTTAGGACATAATCGGAAATTGTTTAAAAGTTTATAAGGATAAGGTTCCTCATAGTTCGAACAAAATAGACACATATTAATTTCAAATCTATCAGATTGGAAGTCGCCTAAATTCAGACTAATCTGAACAATGTACGTAGGTTTCAATCACACTTAATGTAGTCAGACACGTTTCGAGAGGGTCGTGGTTGGGGGCGGTGGCGGTGTCTTCCCCTACTCGTGCAGAGCATATATTATTTCTCCTACATTCATCGAAGTAACGCTGACCAAACCACTTCAGCCCGATACATACTTGAATGCATCTAAATAATATACAGACATATTGTCTACGTGCTTTTAATTTTAGAAAATTCACAGGTAATCCACCAGACCTTGCGCCAAACTTGAACAGCCAATTCTTTCTCTAACTGAAACATAATGAATCTGTAAAATGCTATACTTGAGCAGATTTCACGTTTCTGAAGATGTTTAATTAATATGGACTGTCAATAATGATATACCGCATGATTATCGTGGTATTATTGATATTAAAGGTAATTACATATTTATACAATTAACGCAGACAATTATAGCACCAGAGATGAAAAAACCAAGCCCGGATTTTATCGGTGCGTTGTGTAATGAACCTAACTCTACTTAATTACATTACCAGAAATCGTTTAGAGATAACACACTTCCTGTGATAAGAATCAATAAAACGTTAATTGGTTCAAGACAATAAATAAAGGGTACCCTCCCTTTTCGACTACATCCCATATGACCTAATGATTTTATTATTCTATGCCATATATCAACTCTCTACATTGTAGGTAAAATAGATTCGTTCGTAAAAAAAAAGGTTTGCGTTATCACTTCCGGTGGAAGTGAACGTTAAAAAATAACATTGCGTGACACATCTTGAGATACGCAAACTGGAAGTAGTTTACGTGTAAACATGCAACTTTCCACCCTAAATTTTAACGTAACCAACCTCTTAACTCTCTTATGCTTCCTCTTCAAAATCATGAATATTCACCAAAACCTGGAAGAAAATGTATATTCAAACCCTTGGTGTTCTTTGTCCATGTAACAAGCCATCTTTATTTACCGTGAACAAAATTGACGGGCCTGTTATAAACCCGGTCGAATGAAAGCCAGGAGATTATCTAACGTTTTTTTTTATTATTTTGTTTTCTTAATTTGAGGTTAAATAATCAATCTGGGGACATTTTAGCGTGGGTTAAGCTGTCAGTAATTTGATATTTACCGATAAATGCAAATATCGCATCGCTACTTTAAAAGCGTGTGTGGGGTCAAAATGATCTCGGTGTTGCACAAGTCAAGTAAGAGTTGTCCCCCTACCCGCAATAAATCCCTTAATTCTTGCATTATAAACAAACATGAATCGTGACGCCGAATTAGGATTAATTTTAAAAAACAACAAAAAGGCATAGATATAGCTCACGAAGAGAGAAATTTTACGATAAAAAAAATAAGAGTGTTGGATATTGAACTGGCATGCATCAAATGGATTTTTTGAAATGGCATTTTTGATAAAATTTCATGGGCGTCAACATCTTGTTTTAGGACTAGTTAGCTCCCTTATGTTTATGATAATGTAAAAGCCGGATAATCTAGCCTATGACCTATTTTTTTTCAAATATTGACAACGCATCCAAACTAATATTCGTCGAATATTTTTCTGTATGATAGAGACGAATTTATCTCTTGAATAGCATTTACTATGGGTATCAACAACGTGGCAACGTTTTTTCGGCAGAACATAATGTTTAAAATATTGTACCTTGTCAAGAGGTGCAAGACGAAAACCAAGATCCCGTTTACAAATTGGCGTGCATGCAGGACGATGATTGGCAGTTGGAATTCGAATTAAGAGTGTGACGTCTCTGTCCAGGCCAAATTTCCCTCTGTACATACTGCATGGCGTATTGCAGTCTTCATTAATCCAGTTAGTGCAGAAAGTTAGACGTTAAACTATTTTTAAATCCAGTAAGCAAACGTTATCATGCAACTCGTCATTTTCTTTATTGTTTGAAAATGTGATTTCAATTTTTATTATATACATGTATTACCAATTAGAAACAAATTCTAATATCAAGATAAGTGTTCGTGATCCGCCTACGTCGATTCTTTCTGTAATCAGGACTGCTTCGTTTAATAAGTTCTACTGGTTTAAAATCTTTTATATTTCAATACATGCGGCGCAATTATTATACTATATATAATTCCCATTAAGTTATTTTGTTGGGTCTTTTTCGTGTGGGTGTTTAAAATAAAAAAAAACACAGAATGCAATTGGAATTCAAATGAAAAAAAAATGGATCTACTTTATTTATGTACTTTGTTTAGATGATATATCTTCATCAATTATCAATTTTGTTTTGTCAGTTGAAAGGTTCGCCCAATTATATACTTTATTTGCTTGCTATATTTTTGACAAAATAACAGTCCCGTCAAGCTTAAAGATACATTATGGGAGATTAGATAAAGAGCTGACAGTTCTCGCTATAATAATTAAAAACTAGATAATGTAAAAGGAATATGCTGAAAATTCCAGTCAAATTGATTCACTCTGAACTGAGAATTTAGCGATTGAATTTTCGGCCTAGCCTCGGTCATCATTACTAAAGTCGGTACGATAAAAACATAGTCTCGATTATACAGTTCATGATTTAATAATAAATGAAATTTGAGCAGCAAATCGGATCCAAATCCAGTAAATATCAAAGGCTAGCGATCACATCGAGGTAACTTTGTCCTATATCATCTTTAGTGCATTGACCTGATAATTAGGGTTATAGTGTAGTAATATCATAAATACGGTATAGACGCGGTATGGTGTTACGGTTGGTATTCATAAATACGATATTTACGTGGCAATATTTATTCGTGAACACAATGGTTACGAGGTAATCTTTTTTCGTAAACAGTTTGGTTACAAGGTAATTGTTTTTATTAAACAGTTTTGTTACGAGATTATTCGTAAACACCGTGATTACAAGGTAATTATTTTTTTCGTTTTTCGTAAACACCGTGATCTTTAATGCACTGACCTCATAATTAATGTCTGTAGGTAGTCTTATAACATAAATACGGTATCGAAGAAGTAATGGGTTAGAGTTGTCTGAATGTCTTGGTTGACTCGACTTTAACATAACTAGGTCCCTGCATAGATGAGACAACTGATGTGTCATGGTCTCGCACTTACTTCTCTAGAGTCAAAGACATTTCTGTGAAAAGTTCTTCTCTTTTCACTGGCGTTTTACAATTAGTTCTCTAATGAAGAAGAGGAAGTCGATTCCAGCAATATCTTCCGTATTGGGGAAAGGCTTTGAAAACATGTGAATGGAAAGTTCC